ATGTGTCTCAATGATTGGGTTATGATTTTCCTATTTAATTCACTGAAAAATATTATTTGGGTATGAGAAATATAAACAACTATCAAGCATCAGGTCAAGCTTTTCCAAAACATTATAGATTAAAACTCTGCTTTTGTGGAAATATATTAAAGAATAAATTACTAGGAACAAAATCTCCCTAGCACACTAACATAATCAAACTTGAGTATTATTATCATGTTGGCTTTAGCCATATCCTAGCAGGTAGCTAGTTTATTCAAGCTACTCTAAAAATGAAAAAGAAATATGCATATCCTGACTTTGTAAGAAGCTGCCTGTTAGCATCTTACTAGCCATTTTTCCTCTTTTAAGACATTTTGGATCCAAGGACCAATAGGTTGACTCATTCACCAGTGGAGAATATCAAAGAAAGAAAAAATTTAAAACTAAACAACAGATTTGACAAGATGCCTGTCATCTGAAAGTGAGAAAGAATCTGATATTAAATGAGCATCTTTTGTGCAAGATATAGGCTGTACCTACGCTTTTCTTCAAAACCGCCCTTCAAGAAAAAGGTAATTATCTCCATTTTATAGATACGAACGTTGAGATTCAGAGAGGTTAAGTAATTTACTTAAATAACACAGTTAGAAAACAGCACAAGGAGAACTGAGACCCAGGATTAATCAACTCTAAAATCCAAGCTCTTTGTAATCTACTTGTCGTCTTTCTATGTCTGTTCCTGGCCTGGCCACCTCCTTTGTTTCTTTGTCTATACCAGTATCATTCAGTCTTTTGTTTCCTGACTGGTAGCTTTCCAGCGCCAGAAGCTACAGACACCATGGCAGGGAAGAATGTCCTATCCAGATAGAAGGTGGCAAGTATAGAGAAAGCAGAGAGATAAATGCTTTTCTGCTTCACTGTTTTTGTTTATTTATTCCCTGCTATATTTCACCAAAGCTCTGAGATTGTCAACGTAAAATGTAAGGTATCATAGGAAACTAATAAATGAATCTGGTACTGTTCCATAAGTGGAAATACAATTAGCTAGGAATTAGGTAAGCTGAGATTTAATTTCTGCTCTGCCAAAAATACACTATGACTGTGGGTAAGTCCTTTTCTTTCTCTAGGTTTCAGTTTTCTCATCTGCAAATAGAAGTCACTTCATTTGATCAAGTGTAATGCTCCCTCCGGTTCTCTTACTCTACAGTTTTAATTCTACTAATATACTTCAGAGGCAAGTAAAGTGTGATCATAGTGTCCACTGCAGCTCATTTTGTTTGACACCTGATGAGGTCAAGCACTTTTCTCAAGTGATTCCCAGATGAGGAAGTGAAGAGCAGCTCAGGACACATGTGTACAGATGTGTAATCTGCCTTTTTGTGAGCAGTTGTGATCAGTAGGTAATCAATCTACTGGCTTACATAATACCTTTGCAGAAAAGCATTCCAACCAATGCTTTCACTGAGTCAGCATTCAAAAATCAAGAAGATCAGAGAGTTACAGAACATACTTTACATATATCTGTTCATTAAGAAGGCCCACCCCTCCTTGGCTGTCTTCTTGCCAGATGCCCTTAGCTTAGCTCTGAGGAGACTTAGAAGCAGCCTAATTAAAATTCTGCCATGTATTGTCATGACTACAATACTCTCTATCTTAGAGATGTCAAAACAACAAAATTTGGTGAGGAATTGGCCTATAGTATGTTCAAATTGCACTGGTATTTAGACAGGGGTAAAGATGGCTGGTGTTCTTTTCATGAAAAGCTACAACCCAGGGCAGTAACTTAGATTTCTGCTGGCAGGACACCAACAATTCACACACAGAAGTTATGTTGAAATGATGGAGCAGAACAGCTCCTAAGGTGCCGTTACAGTCTATTGTACCTACAATGTATATATTTAACAGATCCTAAATACCCCTGACACAGCCAACCAGAACAACTCCATTGGTGCCGTTCTGGCTGATCAAGTCAACAATGTTACATTTTAAAGTGCCAAAATAGGGATTTACTTAATACGGTGAGACCCATCATGAGTAAGTAGTCATATGGACATAATCTATGATTCTATATGTACTATAAAGACATAAGCATCCCTATGCCTGTTAGTAAATGTTGGCTCACATTTATGATATATACAAAGCCTGTCTTGTGTACATCTTATATTACTAAATGTAACAAGCTACAGTGGACACTGATGTGTGACCCAGATCCCCCTTCAGGACTGGAAGATTTATTCCCTCAGCTGCTGGAATTGCTGTTGGTAGCTAGCTTTTAGCTGTTGGTCCTCTTGAGCACTGCCTTAGCTGAAGAGAGTCACCTCACTCAAAGTCATTTCCTCTTCCCACTCAAAGTCATGTCCTCATCCAATGACTCATTGATGATACAAGTGTATAAAAGCTCACACTCTTACCCCAACTTAGGGCAATTCTGAATGGCCATGGGAACCAGAAAGCTTCCTATGAGGTTGCTAGAGGCCCTAGTTGAGACTGTACCAGAGCACAACCTCTCCTTCTGACCAGTCCTGGGTTTTAAAAAAATTAATTAACTTGTCTATTTTTTAGAGATGGGGTTTTGCTATGCGGTCCAGACTTTTCTCTTCTCCCTTCCCTTAGCAATACTAAGAGTGCTCCCTAATAAACCTGCATGCTGATCTCCATCTCATGAGCTATTTCCCAGGACACCCAAAGTTATGCCACATTCCTCTGTAAAGAGTGTCCAAATAAGAGAGAGAAGAGGAATGCTTAATAAATTATAAGGTTTTATGACAACAACATCACAAAAAATTTTCTATAACTGTATTAGGGGCTACAAAGAACAAATCCATAAATCAAATGGATGTTTCTTATATTTAAGGAAACAGACAATTTCAACATGAATAATTTTGAAGAGAGTTAAACTGAATTTGTCACAATTCATTTTCCAGTTTATTGCACATTATATATTAATATTTAGCCTCTTTGGCCCAGAAGAAAATATGATGCTCAGAAGAAAATGTAGTGCCCTATGTAATCCCATAAAATTAAGAGAGATATTTTGATTATAAGAAAGCCAAAGATATCATCACAAGAAACTGTTAGCGCTGTCCTTCATTTATTCTTCTGACTTCAACTAATCTATCAGCAATCACAGAAAATGATTCTAGATGCTAAACAAAGCCTACAAGAATCACAAAATATATCTGCAAAACAGTGACATTATGCAAGAGGGAGATCATGTTAAGGAGAGCTCATGAATACAACATCCCTATTAATGAACTTTTCCAGTGTCCGAAATTCAACCTCAGGAAGGTTGTCTACTGGGAAAACTACTCCCTTTAACTTGGAAACCAGGGTTTCCTGGTTCTGTAGAAACAACTTTGCAGCTTACTTTCTGGGACTCAGTTATATTCAGTGTGATATGTTTGAGGTCAAGTATAAATTTATCTATCTATCTATCTATCTATCTATCTATCTATCTATCATCTATCTATGTATCCATTTATCTATCTATGTATCCATTTATCTATCTATATCTATCTTAACCTAATCTCTCATCCCTCTCCCATGTGTTACAAAGCAAAATTAAGTTTTATCCTTTTACATTTCAGACTTTTTCCTTCCAAATGAATTTAAAAAGTCAATGAGAAATACTTAAAATTAACCTGTAGAATTTGAAGTTAATAGTATCTAAGTTCGAACTTCAACAGATAATACAAATTCAACAATATAAGGTGCTATGGAGATAATTTTTGTGTCCCCTCAAAAATCCATATATTGAATCCCCAATCTCTGATGTGATGATAACTGGAGGTGGCTCTTTGGGAAGTAGTTAGGTTTAGATTAGGTTATGAGGGTAGAGGCCCATAATCAGACTAGTGCCCTTCTATCAGATAATCAGAATTTTTTACCCAGTCTACTAATAGCCTCTCAACCAGTCTCCCTGTTTCCATTCTTAACCTCCTAGAGTCCAATCTTACACAGGAGGCAGAATGATCCTTTTATATGTAAATCAGATCATGTCAATGTCCTGGACAAAATCAGTCTAGGGGTTCCCATTGCACTCAGAATAAAATGAAAAGGCTTTCCCGGGTCTACTGGGTCTAATAAGCTCGTCCCAGTCTATCACTTTTACTTTATGTTCCCCTGCTGTCCTGTCTCTTACCATTCTTGCCACCGTGGCCTCCTTGGTGCAGGTCTGATCCTCTAAGTGCCTCCACATTCATCACTCCCAGAGCTGGGAATGTCCGTGCTTCTGCCTTTCACTATGGCCTGGACTGTTGCTTAATTCAGATGTCAATGTCAATGTTTCTCAGACAAGCCTTATCACTCCATCTAACATACCAACCCTATAGCACCTTATTCCTTCAACTTGCTTCTATTTTTTCTCATGGCATTTATTGACTTCCTACAGCTACATTTTCTATTTAATTGTTTATTTTTTCATTGTCTGTGTTCTCCTATTAGAATGGGAGCTCTAGGAGAACAGGTATTTTTGTCATATTTTCTCACTGCTTTATCTCCAGTGCAATAAGCAGAATAAGCAATAAATAATTTGCTGGGTCAAAAACCAAAAGAATGCATTTTGCAAACTGCTTTTTTTTTTTTTTTTTTTGCCCCGGTTAACAGGAAGCTTAGTATTACATTTAATGATGAGTCATGGTAACATATTAGTCTTCATTGTCAGCATGTATGTGTCTTCCATTTTTAATATTCTGCTACTCTATTCTTATTCTAATAACATCATATATCTCCTTTATTTTATGATACATCTATTTCAGAATATGACAGAAAAACACACCAATAGGCAGGTAGGTTGGGTCCCTGGGAGGCAACTTACACTGGGTGAGAAAGGGCATATTTGTTAATCAGCAATAATGCTTACAGGTGCTACATGATAGATTTTAGTAAAATGCAAGACAGCTCTCAAGCTGGAAGCCCAAATCTATGGCTGGAGGTTGATACTTGGGAGCCTGGAAAGAACCAAGTGAGAGTGAACCAATGAGTCTAGCAGATCCAGTGACACAGGGAAGCAGTTTTACCTTTTCATTCCTGCAGTTGTTCAGCCCCATATTATTTATGGAGGACAGTTTCCCATCAACACCATGTGGCTGTTGCTGCTGTTGCTCCCGCTGGATCTGCTCTCGCATCTTCCGTGCCTCCTGGATGGCTTTCATCACTGTATCCTGATCCCCAAACAGGGCAGGGGAGTTGAGACTAGACAGGATATCTGCATATACAGGATGCATTATTAGAGATTTGTGAGATCAGACTCCTAAAAAGCACTACTACTACCGCCTCCCCTGTAGAAAACTGCATTCTCTGAACAAGGAAGGGGCACACATTTGCCATTTTTTAAAGTATACAATAATATGCATAGAGCCAGGGTAACCAAGATGTGCTGGGTTCTTTTAGCCCTTGGAGAAAACACCAGCACTCCAGTCTACCTGGGTTCTGTCTACCCACCTCCTTGCAGACTAAGGTTCCTAGACTCCGATCATATATATATTGGAAGAAGAGATTTGCTCTGCCTATATGTACAATTGGTGCACAGTGTTGTCTCTTCTGTGGGGGAATTATGGGGAGGAAAGGGGTGAGGAGTGGTGAGAAGGCAGAGGTGTTTGTCCAGGCTACCCATCATACTTGCTGTGCTACTACAAGAAAGTTGTTTCTGGCCTGCAGAAAAAAAATCTGTGAGGCCATATGTGTATTTTAGTGATATCTGTATCTGTGTGTTCACATGTCCACTGCAGGAGAGAGGGGGTGGAAGGAATGCACCATAATCTCCATTCCTCCAATTGCTGGCTGGTTAATGAAGCATTCTTCTCATCATGCTGCCTCAGTTATTTACCAAGAGAATGACAACCCATTCCCCACCCCCAGCTCAAACACCCACTACGATCAGCTCCCTATCTTCCTGACATTGAGGCAATATGTGTGGGACTGGTTTTCACATAACTACAAAGCTTCAGAAAAAGTGAGAATAAATATTCACTTCTAGTGTATTCCATGCAATACAGGGAAAAATTTCAAAATTAAACTGACTTTTTTTCCACTATATCTTACATTTTACTGTAGGTAAAATGAATACTTTGAATAAGTTTTTCCAGTTTTAGACAAAAAGAGGACAATTGTTTGATGATAGATAGGCTTCATCTGCTCTGGTAAATGTTAGTGTGATCTACTTGCTTAAAGCCTCGTATAAGCATTTCATAGCAGGTGTGTGTGTGTGTGTGTGTGTGTGTGTGTGTGTACACCTCACATAGGCAGTACAGAAGAAATGGAATAGAATCAAGCTTACACTGTATGTCTGGTATGTACAATGCATGTGCATATGCATTTGTGTTTTGAAAAAATTCCAAAGCTATCTATGGACTTTTTTTGAAGTCAGTCACTTTTTAGTCCCACAGCTTTTGTTCTGGAGTTTTCTGGCAAAAAGACCATTTTTATCCAATATTTTCTGGACAAGAATGCTGTTCAAACACAGGTGCTATTACTTCTGACCATCTAAGAAATATGCTCTGCTGAGTAGAGTTCCATAAATGCAGGGCTTGTGACTTAGTCATCTCCGTCCCTCATGATACTCAGGACAACAAACAAATGAATTCAGAGTGAATTCTAGGACGGCCATTTCAAGGTCAAATCCATAATTTATCTTCTTGTTGGCTTTTTCCCCTCATTTCACAACTTCTAAAAATCCAGCCAAGGGGCATTCATATTCACATGCTGGAAATGATATAATTCTATCCTCTATGCAGATACCACTAACTTTGCATGAAAATTTTCAGGTCCCAAAAAAGGCATTTTTACTCAAAATGAGAATATGCTGTTGTAGAGATCCTATAACCCACATTTCAGTGAGAAAGATTTACATCTCACTATCAGAAGATTCACTTAGACTCAGCACAATTCAGCAAATATTTTAATTGTGAGTTTACTGAGTAACATGTGAGAGGACCTGAATTCTAGTCCTGTTTCTGCTAAGTAATGGCTACAGGAGTATGGGCAAGTTGTTCTACCTGTAAGAACCACAGTGTATGTATTTGTACAATGAAGGTAATAATAATATACTACCCAATTCATAAGACTGGGAAACATCAAATGAGATAAAATAGGCAATAATGTTTTTTCAAGCTGTTAATGGCTATTCTTATACATTATTTTATCTATTGTAATAAGCATTTTAGACTTCAGGACTTGATAATACAAGAAAGGGAATCTAATGAAGAAATGCTTGGTCTTTATACTAACCCTTTAAAATCTGTGTCTGCTTGGAAATTGCGAGATTTAATTTCCTAAGAGCTTAAGTATAACAAATTAAGAGACTTAATTTGACTTAAAGAGTACAGTAACAGTAATGTTAATGCTTATTTGGTACTCTTACTGACAACTGCTTTCACATTTATTGTTTCATTCCACTTTCGATATGTACATGTATTGATAATCATTCATTCCAATAATTTAAAATTGAATATCTCTAGGTTCTAAACTGTGTTAGACACTTTATATGCATTTTTCTCTTTCAATTCTCACAATAACCTATGAGCTATAGCAACCTATAGTAATACTATGACCCTTTCAGAGATTAGAAAATTGAACTTTAAATAACTTTCTTGGGATCGCACAGCTAGTAAATGAAGGCTCTCTGTCCAAGCCTGCCTCATTCCAAAACCCATGTGTTTTCCTACATACTTTTCACATAGGGATACGACTATTCCTAGAGATACTTGGCAATATATGGGGGAGTGTAAGAAGCCAGACATTATGACATATCTTCCTATATATCAATAGTATTTCATATATGTTCTGGAATTGTGTCATTCATATTTGTTTTAATGAAAAAGTAATATGGGATAAGATGTAAAATTGACATACACTTTGATAGAAAATAAAAATGTCAAATAAATTTTGGCCTTTTGAAAGGCTGCTTTGAATCCGGGTCCTATGTCCCTGAAAAATTATTTCAGTGGCAAAGCGCTGACCAAATATAGAAATTCCTAAGTCTATGATTTACTGGATCTAACTCATTATCATCTAAAGAACCCGTCCCAGCAGGATTTATATTATGATCGTTTCCAAAAGTTCTAATATAACAAGATACTAAATTGGGTTATATTTCAGTAGAGAAGATAAGAGTATTATCTTTTACTAAGGAACACTTTGGAAACAAATATCAGTCGTAACTAAACAGATTTGCTTTCTTTTACCTAATTCGTAAGTCTCTTCCTGGTGTTGACTTTTCCATTTACCTAAAGAGGATCCTCTTCCCAGGCTTCCTCCAATGGGGCTAGGGATGCTGCTTTTGTTTGGCGGGTTGACAGGGCTGGTTTTGCTGGCTGGGAACAGGTTCTGGGTGGGAGACGTTGGGGACTTTACAGGCTCTGCTGTCTTGGGTCGGGATGAGAGATTCAGAGGCTGTGCTGCTGCTTCATCCTGCAAGAGTTTAACATAAATAATTATTTTTAAAAAAGACAAATGAAGCACATTATCACTTAGTAAGCCACAGTTATTTTACACCTCAGAGACAATGCCACATTCTCCTACAGTAATAACAAAAGAAGCTAATTATCTACCTCCTTGAAGATTCATCGGAAGGAAACCTCATTAATTTCCCTGTGTTATGCTTCTATTTACATTAACTGTGTAGTTGGATCATTCTTTTTGCCAAATTAAAATCTGAATTAGCTCACATTACAGCTTAATTTCCTAATGTGTTTTCAGGGATCTAAATTAACCTAGGGCATTTACAAAGAATTATTTAAGATTTCAGCAGCTCTGTAGTGCTTTTGTGTTATTCTCTCTGAAAAGTTCTTATAGCTATAAATAGTCTCTGCAGCTAATTTTTTTAATACATATTTTAAATCAAACAATTGCAAGCACTTTAAAAATGGAAACATGGAAAGCCTTCTTCTGATCTACTAGGCTCCTGCCCAGGGAGCCGCATGCCACAACACAGCTTCTATGTGGCTTTTTGGGTGTGGGCACTTTTCATGGTCTATATTCTGGTCTCTATTCATGTTTAAAATTAATTTTTGCAAAGACCAAGGATAGATTATAATTATGTTTTATATACTATGCTATATGCAATTTATTTTTCATGTTTAAAGTGTTGTTTCTTTATAGGCTTTTTTACATATATTTACAGAATGTCTATTTTAAGACATGTCCTTCTACACTGAGACAGTATTCAACTATCTGGCTTGTAACTGTAGTTCATCCAGGAACTTGAAAGCTTAGCTTAGCATTCCTTGATTTTGTCTCATTTATCCTGCCATAAAATACTTGAAACAACACTTTCATCATCCTAGAAATTTTGTTGTAATATAAGCATATTCATTTAAATGTTCAGTGTTAAGATCTGTATTATTGTATTCTAAAATAAAATGCTCAGCAAATGTTAACTCCCATTTTGCTTCTTCGAAGGTGAAGAGGACTAGATTTTAATGCCATTGTTTGAAAGACCCAGTTGAGTTTGGTAACAGAACATTTTACCCCTTAGTAACCAAGTGACCTTGCTGGGACTCAATTTCTTCATCTGTGAAAAGAGAGTCTGATGCTAGGTGATCTCTAAGGTCTCTTCTAGTGCTAATATCATTGATTAAGGGGGAACAAAAACAGAGGCCAGAAAATAGTACTTGAGAAGGAGGATTAGAAAGAGAAAATAAAAATAGCATGCATAAAGAAGCAATTATAAACCAAGCACTGTACTAAGCATTTTCACGTACTAGCTCATTTAACTATCGATAACTCTATGAGGCTGGCCAGTATTATTCTAAATTTACAAATAAGAAAATGGAGGTCAGAATGAAAATGTAAATTCTAATTTATTGGACTCCAAATTTCAGGCCCCTTTTCTACTGAACTACCATAGAAAATAAGTCAATTGTTTGATAATATAGTGATGCCCCAGATAAAGGCAATCTGCCACATATGTTGCAATATACCTTTATGTATATTTATATGTAGGACAGGTTCTCAAGCAACATGGGTACACCCATTATGAATGTCAAAATTATCTTATGTATTTAATTGCATTTTACTTCCCTTTGCTCTTAATTCAAAGGATGTTTGAACTAGTTTCTTCCTTTACTCACATCTAAATAATAGGGATTTATATGCTAGGTGTTTAGTTTTCTCCATGTTTCTTTTATTTGGGGCTCACTGAGCTTCTAAAAAATCTAAATTTAAAGTTTCGATCACATTTGAAACATGTTCAGTAATTATTTCTTCAAATACAATTTTCTGTTTCTCTCTCTTCTTTCTGGGCCTCCAATTGCATACATTAGTCTATTTGATTTTGTCCCACAGTACTGACCTGTCTTTTTTCTATGCCTTTCATTTTGGATAGTTTTATTGTTATGTCTTTAAGTTCACTAACTTTTCTTCTGCAATGTCTAAGCTGTTGCTAAACCCACCTAGTATATATTTTTTAATCTCAAACACTGTATTTTTCATCTGTAGACATTTGATTCAGGTTTTTCCACATCTTGCTTTATCAAGCTCATGTTTTCCTCTATCTTCTTGAACATATGGAGTTTATTACAGCTTTTTCAACTTTGAAATACTCGAATTTTTTACTTAGTTTTATAATTCAATAATCGCCACTTTAACCAATAATACCACTGGGCATGGCTAGCACCTTCCAATGCCCAATTAAGTGAATCCCTTTCCACCATGGTAGAACTGTTGGTCCTCACAGCCTGTCCTGGCCTGACAACTTTGTTCTAACCAAGCCTGGGAGTAGGGGAAATAACAATAGCTCTAGACAGACTTCCACTATTCCTACATATAAGAGGAGTAAATATTTTCTCAGATTGTATATAACTTTGTTCAATTTTAAGAATGCCTAAATGATTGCTTTTGTCAATTTTTTTCCAGCTTTATAGGTGCTCTTTTAGGAAAGCAGATTTGCTTATCTCATCTGGCTCTAGTTGGAAGTCTTTTATCATAGCTGCTTTTCCTGTCTTATCTATTATCATCTGTGCCATTTTGGGGTCTGTTTCTTTTGATTAATTTTCCCATTATTCATATTTTTTTCCTGCTTTTGCAAACCTGATAATTATTGGATGGATGCTACACATTGTGAATTTTACCTTCTGGGGTGATGAAGTTTCTGTATTTCTTTAAATATTTGAAAACTTTGTTCTGAGACACAGAACAATTTGATCCTTTCTAGGCTTACTTCTAGGTGTTGAAAGCAAGGTCAGAACAGTCACTAAGTAGGGGTAATTTGTCCCCACTACTGAGGTAATACCCTTCTGGGGACTCTACTTGATGCCCCACAGGTCAGGAGATATTTCCACTCTAGCCAACTATTCCTGGCCCTTTGTAAACCTTGCAATTGATTTGTTTGCTATATTCTGGTGTTGCCCCTTATCTTTGGTAGTTTCTCACATGCATGTGCTAATCAGTACTCAGCTAAATACGCAGGGGGAGCCTTTTGCGGATTTTCAGCACTCTTTCTCCATGCAGCTTGTTCCTTTCTGATACCCTGTCTCACAAATTCCATCTGCATTGGCATCCCTAAATTCTAAACTCTGTCTCTCTACTCAGGGAGCCTGTAAAACTTCCTTCATAGTTGCCTGGAAACTTCCTCCTGATAGTGAGCTGCAACAATGGTAGTCCTTGCCTTACTTGTTTCTCTTCTCATAGGAATCACTGTCCTGTACTCCTATTGTAAATGTCTGAAAACCATTGTTTTATATAATTTTGTCCTGAGTTTTAGTTGTTTAAGCCAGAGGAGTAAATCTACTTTTTGTTCCTTCATCATGGTTGACCATGGAATTCCTCTAGGTGTTTATTTAGGATCTCTCCCAGTCTACAACTAGATATTTTAATCACAACCACTAAAATCACCACACTATCTTCTTATTACCATCATGAGCAGCAGCAGCATCACGACCACTAACATTAACAGAATACTCACTATATACTAGAGGATATATTTAAGACCTATAATAATATTAACTCCCTTTTTTTTTTTCAGAGGCAAAAACTAAAGTAGAAAGACATTAAGTATCTTGTGCAAGCTGATATAGTGAGTAAAAGTGGTAGAACCAGTATCTTTTCTGACATCTGATGTTGACAGTTATAGTAGACAAATATTCTAGGGGAAAAAAGGTACATCAGATCATCTATATTTATTTTTGTTACTGTCAGCAAATGTTGCCTATGTTCTGTTTGAATTTAAAATAAGTAGTCATTTTATATACAGAAGAAAAGCAATGACTATAAAGAGAAACATGAGAGATTTTGGTAACCATAGTTCCTTCAATTAGCAAATGATAAGATTATTTTCAGCACATCTTCAGTAATAGATAGGAATTATATTTTAAATTTAAAATACTTGCTTTACGTTTTGTTCTACATATTTTTACCCATATATAAAATAAAATATCTAGTAAGTAAAAAGAAACATTTCTTTTGTTATTAACATAGAATATGGTCAAGTCAAATTACCCAGAGAGCTCCCTAAGAATTTGCATGTGGTCAAGTGAGTAATAAAATTCAGTTGGCTCACAAAGATGGAACGGTAAAAGCAGATATAAATTTGAATTTAACCAAAGAACATTTTATTCATCCAGTAAAGACTTGGTTTGGTGCAGTTCCAGTTGGTAAACTTACTTATAAAATGACTTCTTTATGTTAAAATATTTAATACTCAATATCTCAAGTCATTGATGTTTGATACTTCAACAACTACGAATAAGCAAAGTGCCTTGGTTTGAGTTGGAGTGTTCTGACTTATTCACAAACACAAACTCTGCGAACATAAAATACTCTGTTTCCATACATGATTCTGTCTTATTAAATGTAAACCTCCTATTGTCCTATCTCAGTATTTCAAACAACAGATTATAAATGTTCACCCATTTCTTTAAAGAATTAAAGAATAGGTGGCATTAAATTAATTCTTTTGAATAGAACACAGACAGAACTATCTCTCTTAATGATTTTCACTTTTCTTGATCTTTGGTATCTGGGATCCACTTTTTTAAAAAGAGTTTCTGGAATCTCAATATTACTATATGCAAATTTTAGAAAACAAAACAATTTCAGGGACTGTATAGCATCTGATGCTTAGTTTTGTTTGTCTCAGCTGTTTCCCTTGTGTAGATTTAATAGTTGAAAAATTTCTTCAAATGCAGTGCTTTTATCACATTACAATAAAGCATTCATACTTAGCATACTCCTCCAAGTAGATAAGTCAATTATACAATACAATTGTTCCTCTGTTTGAATTTGATAATTCAATATAGAAAGAAACTGCAATCATAAAACCAACAAGCACCACCTATGGGTACCAGCTGCAGCACAAAATTGCAGTGGCTCATCAATTTCCCTCTGTCGCCAAGTACCTCCTGGCTGCAGTTTCAAGACACTGAAAATTACTGAGAAAAGACATTTATTAATGTCCCAGATCTAATTTGGGAAAGCCTGTTTATCCTAACACAACTATATGGCATCAAAAGCATTATTAGGTAATGACAACTCATTCCTTAAAGGCCACATTTATAACTAGTTTTGAAAGAGACCTTCATCAACAAACCATACACATTCCAGCATCAGATTCCATTTTGTTCTTCTTTTTAAACCTAAGGTTTCAAGATTCCAATTGTCTGGTCCTATAAGTTAACTCCCTCCCTATTTAAGAAACATGGAGAGAAGTGCCACAAGTACATGACAAAGACTGGCAACAAAATTATGGCCATTCATGCCAATGAACATTAAAAAATAAAAGCCAGAATCCAAAAGGGGAAAACTCTTGAGAAGTGAGTTTGCAGATTGAGGTAAAGATCTCACAATATGGCACTATTGTTATCAAAACGGAAACACCTGTTTCTCAATGCTCAATCATGAAATTTACCATAAAGAGGGACATTTTGGGGTTGCTTTATGTTGCTATGTTTCCTGCTGTTTATGCACAACATAGCCTGCTTCGCTACACTTCTTGTGAAACTATTTTCTGAGCTGTTTCCACAATACTGCAAGGCGAGTACCTTAACTTGAGTTACAGGGCTGGTCCCTCTCTTTTCATTTTTTATCCCAGTAGGTGAGACCGTCCCTGCTGTGTTTGGTGGCTGTGGAGTTGATGGCATCTTTGCTCCAGGTGACACCTGCATGCTGGCCAGCTGAGCGGCATAGAGCTGCTGCAAAACAGGGAAGACAAACATTGATCTCTTTAAATGCAGCTGAAATTGAGTTTCAAAAAAAGACTTACCATATTGTTAGATTTCTCAGACAGTCTTGTAATTTCTTTCTCACTATTTTTAAAAAAGGAAACTAAGAGAAGGCAAATGATATAACAGAAAGAAAGAAAACTGGTAAGGGAGCCACAGTTCTGTTCCTGGTCCTTCTAGCAACAACTTTAAGACCCTGGACAAAGGATTTGATTTCTATATAATTCAGGGTCTGTTGTTTATTTTTTTAATTGTACAAAAGGAATTTTGAGTAAGTAGTCTCCAACATGCTTTTTAATGCCTAAAATCTTTAATAAAAGTTATTTAAATGTCTGGGATGTCCACTCATGGAATATTAATATTCATGAATTATAAAACTAACCTGAACATTTTTAAGGATTCTTAGAAGAACTACATTATTATTATTATTCGGCACTGACTATGCCTCTCTGGATATTCTGATCCTTCTGAATGATGAGTGCTGTTCCCAAAGCCACTAAGGTCCAATGGCAGTCATTGTTTACCCAGGGTCTTACTTCTAGGCAGCATATAACATAATCCTCAAGAGAATATGGCCAGATTGGTAGCAGTTTTTTTTTTTTAAGTCAAGCTTCTCTGAACCCAAACCAGCTAACAAAGTGCCTCCTTCATGCTTCCAAACAGATCACCATACTTCTCTCCTCAGCTTCTGCCTTTGCCTGGAACTGCACATTTATCTTCATCATATTATCACTGCTGTTTCAAGGTCTTTTCTGAAGTATTTTCTATAGTTCTTTTTGGCAAACCAATGATCTTATTACTCATTCTATTTACTCAGCTTAAAATGGTTCCTCTTCTCGGAGACATGACAAGGAGACAACCTGACGTTATGAATCTTTAAATTATCAATCTGAAAATATGTCAATTTCATTAAATTAAGGCCAAAAATGGAAAGACAGGCGGGCTAACCTCTTTTCATATAATTTCCATTTTTATCAAAGTCATTCTTATATACAGCTTTACAAGTTAAATAGTACTTTAAGGTTTTAAAAAACAAAAATACCAAAACAATAACAACGAAAAGAGCAACCAAAATGTACAGTGCACAGCTTCCACAGGCAGGCACGATGACCTTCATTTCCTTACCCAGGTCCTCCTTATCTCACCTGTTCTGTGTAGTCCATTCCCTTCAATTCAATTAATGATTTAACTGGTATTTTTTGCCTTATTTGTAAGTGCTTATAAATGTTACATTATTATCTACATATAAAGGAAAATGAAAGGTTCACTTTCCTACACTGAACCCCACACGTGCTCCAATGCTTCCCTCTCCAATCTCTTAACGTTAATATCACAAATTTTAAAATTAGTGTTTACTGTTTTATTTTATGAAGACACTAGCTCTGTAGTAAACTATACTTAATTTTCTCTTTCTTAACTTTTAATTTTGTTAGATTTAATATTTACCTCATATTTTGTTTTCATTTTTATGGAACTATCACTAATTCTCAAACTCACTGAAATCAGTAAACTCTACCCAGTGTAATTGAATATATCAGGTAATCTGTGCATCCTGTTTTCCCTTGGAGACATCCTTCTTGGAATTCTCAATCTTCTTGCTCCAATCTGCACTAATTTATTCCTCAGGCATACCTACTGCAGATCTATGGCACCTGGAATTCCTTTTGCCTCTCCTGTACTGATGTCCTTGTTTCCTGGGTATCACATTTTCTTCCCTTTTAGTTATATGCTGGTAAGAATGTAACGTTTATAAGCAATTACAAATAAGGCAAAAAATACCAGTTAAACCATTAAATGAATTGAAGGGAATGGACTCCACAGAACAGGAGGTGAGATAAGGAGGACCAGGGTAAGGAAATGAAGGTCATCATGCCTGCCTGTGGAGGCTGTGCACTGTACATATTGGTCATGCTCTCATTTTGGTAGAGCATATCCTCCAAGCACTTCCTTAGAATGATGAATGTGAGATTAATTATTTAGGAATTAACATTTCTGGAAAATGTTATTATATTCTTCTCACTTGACTGTAGATTGACTGTATAGTAGTCTAAGTTGAAAATAATTCTGCCTTAGAATTCCAAAGATATTGATCTGCTGTATTCCTATTCTTCTTACTAAGGAAGCCTGACATTATTTTGATTCCTGATCCTTTATATGCAATCTATTTTCTCCTCTGGCGTCAGGATCTTCCCTTTCCACAGAATGTTTTGAAATTTCACTATTATATCCTTCTGTTGACTTTTATATTCATTGTTCTGAACACCCAGTCAGGCTTTTTGATCCAAACTCATGTCTTTCAATTCTAGGAAACTTTTTTGATGTTTTCCATTGATAATTTTCTACCCTCTGTATTCATATTTGATAAATGTTAGATTTCCTTATCAACTTCCTTTTTTTCTTATTTTTCTTTCTGTTTGTTACTCTGACCTTTTGTTATACTCTATGACAGATTCTTTTTGCGACTTCATCTTCAAAAACTTCTCTAAATGTTTTAAAGTTTCTGCCGTTATATTTTAAAAATACTCTTATTCTCTGGTTGCTTCTTTTAATAGCATCCTGTTCCCTATTGGTTTGACCGTATTATTGTTTTCTACATTGTTACCACTCTTTTCTTCCAGTGTCTTTGAGTTTTTCTGTTGGGGCTTTTCTACAGTGTCTGGTGTTTATTGACTCTTTATTCATATATAAGAGCAATGTACTCGAAAGCTGCTGGAAGGTCTAAGTATGGGGTAGACTTACTGATTGATGGGCTTCAGCATAAGGTAATGATGCAGAAAGTCTGCTTTTTCACTGGGGAATCCCAAATGTCAATATCTACAGGTCATTTATCTTAGACTAGAACATTTTTTAGAGAAGCATCTTCAAATTCTTGCCTTGATTTGTGTATAGACTTGTATGCCATCATTACATGAGCCAAGCAAGAGAAGGATCTCACAGTGTGGTCTATCCTGCAGACTCCCTGGTTTTCACCATGGCACCATCACTAATTCTCAGCTATGCCTGATGTCCCAAAACATAAACCTCTCAAGTTCAACTTCTCAAGAGAATAAATCTCTGGCATCTTCTGCCAGGTTATGTGCTCATAGGGCTGGGAGGGAGGAGGCAGGGATGGTAGTTACCAGGTTGCATGAGGTTATGGAGGGATCATTTTATATCTATTTTCAACCAGGCATCCTGTCGACAGTTCCACCTCTTACAACTGTTCCTTTAATGATTCACGATGCCTTCAATTCATAAGCATTTTAAAGGTTCAGCTCGCAATTGGGCTTGATTCTTTTTGGCTTTACACTCCTAAAGCTTGGGTATCAGCTTTCTCTTTTCTGCTAAGACAGTTATAACTCATCTATCCATTTCTCATATTCCAGGTATTTTGTCTTCTCTTTCCATTTCTACTTGAAGGTTTATACCCATCATTCTTAACCATCAGTTTATTAGGATTTGGGTGAAACTAACAATAAATGAATATGTTAATCTGCTATGGTTAACCAGAAGTCAGACACTCGAATCTTAACACTATTTAATGCCTGAAAACTTTGTTCAAATATTTTCTTTTCTTTTTTAATCAAAATCAAGCCATTACCTTAATGGTCACATTTTTCTCATAATAAATAGAAAGCTTCTTAGACTATCAACAACAGAGAAAATAGCTCAAACTTTGCCATACTAGTAGGGGAGAAAAAACAGGTGGTTTGTATGTAATTTCCAGCATTACTATCATTCAGATGGACAAATAAAAAAAATTACAGTAATCAAAAACAGACCTTTCAGCATATGTAATTAAATGAAAGCTTAATAAAGAATAATTTGCAAGAGCCAGATGTGCTTATGTCATGATTGTTGCTTTCTTTGGAACAATTTTTCTAATATAACAAGCCTCTAAAGAAATTAAAGTTTTATAATTCTGTATGCAATGACTCAGTGGCAAGAAAAATTCACAAGCAGAGTCAGTCAAATTGCTAGCACTTAGGCAAAGTGATGGGGGCATCTTGTGGTTTCTGTTTTACTCTGCTGTATTATTTTCCTTTGAAATTCAGCCAGAAGTCTTCAAAATGGAGACAGGTCAAGCTTCTGAAAAAGTCTGCTTGGATTAAGGCAGTGAACAAAAAAGTTCTGTATTGAATGGAGTCAAGATGGTTAAGAGACAAAAACATGTTGGCTATATAGTACTGTAGCTGGTATCATAAGCAATATATCCTACTATGAGTATTAAAGAGTCATGAAATCTTAGAGATGCTGAGTCCTTTGTTATAATTTATGGCATCATTTTTACCTCAATAATTCAAAAGATCAAACGAATTTTACTCTATCTTGAGTCCTTTAGGAAATTTGAACTAGTGAAAAATGCAAAAAAACTGCCACATTTCTGGAAACTAGTCTATGTTTTTTTAAAAAAGTTGACTATGAATCCTTTAGATTGAATGAATAAAACAGTTACTTTTCAGGAAAAGAGTAGTGTTAATTGCTTCTTCCAAAGCTCTTATAATAATTTATTTTATAACCCTTTTAAGTGAGTTGTACCTAAGGAAGGCAAGACCACACAAACTCTGAGATTCCTTAAAGCAGGTTCTTGTGAGTTGTGATTACTGATATATTAGAGAGAGGAAGAGGTACTGCCACATTCCATACCCTTTTCAAAGCTGGGTAACTGGACAGTAGGATATCAGGTAAGATTTAGTAGAATGAGACTTGAAATAAAAATCAGAAAATGTAATCCAATGAAAAGATAGAAGGTATTCACAAAAATTAAAATATCCATATTTCATCTAACAAATCATGTGATTTTAGTTTAAATATCATTCTCTTCAGATTGAAGATTTTAAATTTGTCTTGAATAATATGAATGTCATTCATTGAATAGGTATAAACTTACAAAATAATTTCACAGCTCACCCTCTAAACTACCATTGATTAAATTTGTTCCATGTGCAAGGCTCTGTGTTAGGGGCTGAGGAGGCTTTAAAACACACAGC